CCCCCCCCCGAGGCACCATCCCACTGGTGGTGGGGCACAGCCTCGCCTTTGACAGCCACCCCTTGCAGAGAGTGGCTACGTGCACTTGCTGAGTGAGCTGGACGCTGTACAGTTCGCGGAACTGCACCGGAGCCGGACTCTGCAGGTGGTGTTCGAGGCCTACCCGCTGCCCACTGTCCTGTGGTTCAAGGACAACCGCACCCTGGGCGACTCCAACGCCGGCGAGATCGCCCTGTCCACGCGCAATGTGTCCGAGACTCGGTGAGCTGCCACCTACTCACTCCATTCTCAAAGTTATGGTCTGCAGCTGCCAGGCAGCCCACAGCCTTCAGCTACTCCACAAACCTAGGCCCACCTTTCCTGAGAGCCCACTACGTGCCAGGCACCCTGCCAGGTGCTGTGCCAGGCCCTGGGGATGCTGCAGAGAAAACACACAGTTCCATGCCTCCTAGAGTTTCCTGTCTAGTGGGGAAAACAGGCACTGGTCAGATGATCTCCCAGATGTTTAGCTGTCCTTGTGATGGGTGGAGCCATCGGGGGCAGCTGAGGAGAAAAAAGCAGGGTGGCTGAGAAAGAGGGTGCCTGGCAGGCCACCGCCACCTATGTGTGGGTGGTAGCCCTGAGGCTGGAGATTAGCAGGCGACCTGAGGTGCCCTATGTTAGAATAACGCAGGGTCAGGCCTTTGTGAAGGAGAAGAGACGGTGCCATCCCTTCTCCCCCACCCCAGCCCTCCTAACCCTCCCTCTGGGCTCAGCGGAGCTGCCTGTGGGTGGGGATTCAGGAGACAATTCTATGGGTGTGAGTCCTGGCTCTGCTACTGACACCTGTGACCTTCCTGTCCCTGGGCCTTGTCTGTACAAGGAGGGTGGGGAGGGCCGTAGAGTTCTTCCAGCTCTGACAGCTGGGTCTCCTGGCCTGGCCTGTTCCCCAGGTATGTGTCAGAACTGACACTGGTGCGAGTGAAGGTGGATGAGGCTGGTCGCTACACCATGTTGGCCTTCCACGAGGATGCGGAGGCCCAGGTCTCCTTCCAGCTGCAAATCAATGGTGAGGGGCCCTCCACCCTGCTTTCCTTGCGCTCATCTCCCGCCCGTTTCCTCTCCTTTCTTACACTGTCCACCCCCCATCAGAGGAGCAGGAGAGGGAGTCTGGGACTCAGGGGACAGGGTTCTAGTCTTAGCTCCAACACTGACCCATTGCTCTGTGCATAACCCCTCTCTGGGCCTCAGTTTCCCTAGCTGTACAAGTTGGCCATTGGGCTAGACTGATGTTTCCAAAACCTTAGACCTTCATGTGCCAATGCCCTGATTTTTCCTTCTCACATACCACTTAAACTACACTACTAATTAAACAGATATTTACTGAGCAACTCCAGTATGCCAGTCTGTTCAAGGTTCTTCAGGCCCTGCCTTTGTGCAGCTTGCATCCTAGTTGGGGAAGACAACTATTCAACAGTAGGGGTAAACCCCCCAGCAAATTATGTAGAAGGTTAGAAGGTAGCAAGTGCAGTGAAAGAAAAAGCAAAAGCTGCAGGGTGCGGGGTGGGGGAGAACTGAGAGTTCCAGGGGCAGGACAGTGAGGGCTTCGCTTTTAAACAGCAGCAATGGGGCTGGCCTCACTGAGATGACAGTTGCATGAAGACCTGAAGAAGGTCATGAGGGCATTAGCCAAGTGGCTATTTGAGGAAAGGGCATACCAGGCAGTTAAAGACAGGAGTGGCAGCAGAAAGGCCTGAGTGGCTGGGAGAGTGGTGGGAGATGAGGTGGGAGCTGGGACAGGGCAGTTAGGGTGGGTGGGTGGTACAGTTCGTGTAGGTCCTCGTGGACTCTCGTATGGACTGAAATGAAGAGTCCCTGCAGGGTTTTGAGCAGAGGAATGACATGATAGTGATTTAATGTTTTGTCAATTTTACTTTCTAAAAACTTATTTTGAAAGAGACTTCAACCTTTCAATTGTAGAAGGAAAATCACTGTTATGTATCATATATATAAAGCAACTACTAAATAAACTCTAAGATAACAAAACAACGCTATTAAATTCTAGCTCCAAGCTCTTGCCTTTCCAGGGCCCTGATCCCGAGGCCTGCTCTCTCTTTGTTAAACGGGAAGATTAGCAAATCTCAGAGAGGTGTTAAAGACAGACTAGCACCCTACTGAGGCTTTCCCTTTGAAGTACCCAGAAGGGGAATCCGCCAGTTTTCACACGGTGATTCCTAGTATTTAATGTTCACCTGCAGCCTGCAGCTCCCCTCCCCTGAGGGGAGACTCTGGGCCACGACCTTCCTCCCTGAGGGTCTTTCTCACTAACTGTCTATTCCGACCTTCCCTCCTCCTGGCCCCATGCCTTCTCCGTGCAGTGCCTGTCCGGGTGCTGGAGCTGAGTGAGAGCCACCCTGCCAATGGGGAGCAGACAGTCCGCTGTCGTGGCCGGGGCATGCCTCAGCCACACATCACCTGGTCTACCTGCAGTGACCTTAAAAGGTGAGCCTCAGTCTCCCAGGGTACCCACAGCTGGCTAGAAGGACCCACTGAAGGTCATCTAGTCCAGGCCCTTCCTCTGGGCACACTGTTCCAGGCTAGAGACACATCCTAAAAGATGTGGCTTCGTGGAGATACCCTGCATAACCAATATTGCCCCTTTCCTTACCTTCACTCTGAGAGTCAAACCAAGGGAAATGGATTTTGCGAACTCAGGCTTCTCAGTTCTGGGGTAGGCGCGCCCCCTGCCGGTCAGTTGGGATAGCGCAGGAGATCAGCTCGGGCGCTCCGGTTCCTCCGCCACCACCTCCTGGGACTGCGGGCTCTGGGCCTCAGTTTCCCGCCTGCAGAGCGCAGGGACTGGAAGCTGACCTGCGGGCTCCCTGGGCAGGTGTCCGCGCGAGCTGCCGCCCACGCCTCTGGGGAACAGCTCGGAGGAGGAGGGCCAGCTGGAGACCAACGTGACGTACTGGGCGGAGGAGCAGGAGTTCGAGGTGGTGAGCATCCTGCGCCTGCGCCGAGTGGATCAGCCGCTGTCGGTGCGCTGCACGCTGCGAAACCTGCTGGGCGACGACGTGCAGGAGGTCATCCTGGTGCCCCAGTGTGAGTCATCCAGCCCTAGCGGCCCTCAGTGACCCCTCACCCCCACCTCGGGCCTGCCATACTTGTGACTGCGCCTGTGTGCCACAGCCGGCCAGAGTCAGCAAGTCCATGGCCACTCAGGAACCTTGTGAAACCCACCAGAGTTTGTCCCTACGCACTTACACAACAACACAACATTGGCACATGCGTACATCTAGGAGCACATGTCTGTAAGCCATGGCCATGAATAGCACTATCTCCTTATACCTAGTATATGTACACTATGTGTATGTCGTAAGCCACATACATGAGCATGCCTGACCCTTGGGCATGTGTGCAGACTCCCCAACTGTAGATTTTTAAACCATGTAATGAAGAATGCCCTCAGATACATATGTAAACCCACAAGTGTATGTCTATGCATGTACATGCGTGTCCACAATCCCTATACAAGTGTGCAAACAATGCATGTACAATTCCTGTGCATGTGTGCAAACTGGCATAGTGCATGTCTGTAAGCATGGAGAGGAAAGGTGAGCCACAGCCTAGCTGCCAGGAGCTTGCATCTGATCTGGAGCTATGGCAGACAGGCCATTCGGACCCCTGCTAGGGCTGAAGGGATAGGGAGGTGGATGGTGGTCTGAGCAGGGGGTAATTACTGAAGGGCATGGGGTAATTATGGGAGAGGCTGAAGGTGTGGCCCAGAGGGAGAGGCTGAGGGTCTGTCTGACATTATAGGCTGGTGGTGGGGGGGGGACTTCTGCTCTGGGATGGGTAGGCAGAGAGGGATTTGTGGTCTCAGAGGTAGGATAAGGAAGGCAGCTGCCAAGTGCTCTGTTGGCTTATGGCCAGCTCTTGTCTCTGCCTCCAGCCTTGCCCTTCAAGGTGGTGGTGATCTCGGCCATCCTGGCCTTGGTTGTCCTAACGATCATCTCCTTCATCATCCTCATCATGCTCTGGCAGAAGGTAAGCGCCACCCTTGCCGAGTGGACACAGACTGACACACCATTATATTATATGGATACCCCCTGCTATCCTTGAATCCTGCAGGATCTGCCATGTCTGGGACCCAGCACAGAGTTCAAGTATAAAATGATATAGAGTAATGCTGGATGTCTGAGCTACCTCCATCCCCAGCAGCCTGGGCCAGGATGGTCCTGGTCCAGGCCATCAGGATTCCCGGTCTCTACTGTTCCCCTGTCCAGCTCCTGCTCAGACATCATTCCTGCCCATCCCAACACAGGGTATGGGACCTTCCAGGTGGACTACATGGGCTCCAGGATTCTTCCAGCTCTTAGCCACAGAGACTCTAGGATTCTATTGAACTGCATTCAATCCTGTTACTCTGTAATTTCCATGTTCCATTCTGAGATTTCACCATTCTTTGCTTCTAACATTTTAAGATTCCTGAATTAGAATTGCAGTACCCCATAGTCTATCTTTCTAAGATTCTAGTCCAGTGATTCCAAAACCTCATGGTTTCAACATCCTATTATTACATCTTTCTGAGGTCCCTGCTGTGACTGACCCAGCATGGAGATGGGCTGTCCACATCCAGCAGAGTGCCCCTGCCTTGTGTCACTTTCTGGAGCTGTGTACTCCTCTACTCCCATCTGAGCAGCAGTTGAGGCTCTGGGAGAAGCTGAGGAGGCGGTTCTGATGAGCTGGGTCCTTGGCTGTCAGATACTCCTCAGCCACTCCATAGCTGGGCCACCTTGACATCAGTTCCCACTGAATCCATGAAGGCCTTGGCTCTATCCATAACTTGCTGTGTGACTTCAGCTATGCCCCTGTCACTCTCTGGGCCTCTTGGTCTCCTGCCCCATCTGTTCCATAAGGGACTGGACCTAGTGGGCCTCAAGACCCCCTCTGATGACCCATCCCTGGTCTTGGTCCTGCAGAAGCCCCGCTATGAGATCCGATGGAAGGTGATTGAATCTGTGAGTTCCGACGGCCATGAGTACATCTACGTGGACCCCATGCAGCTGCCCTATGACTCCACCTGGGAGCTGCCGCGGGACCAGCTTGTGCTTGGTCAGTCCAAGGAGACCTCACATGGCAGTGTGTGGACTTGAGGCGGGTGGGAAGATTATCTGAATTCTGGTCCCAGCTTTCCATGATTAGCTTTGAGACAGGGCTGATGGATGTCTTGCCTTCTCTGGCCTTGTCTCCCCCTCTGTACAATGGGGATAAGACAATCCCCAGGGACTATCCAGCATTGAGGTCCTATGATCCCATGACTGTGTGAGGTGGGACCCCTTTGTGACGAGAGGAAGTATTAATTGTGGACAGGCTGAGCGCCAACCATGTGCTTAGTCTAGCTGGAAAGCTGAGGGGTACAGAGGAGCCGTGCTTCCTTCTAGGGAGGTTGGAAGGCTCCCAGGGACTAAATGGGCCAGCAAGCAGATAGGTCTTAGGTGAGACACCAGGATAGACCATGAAGCGCTGTGATTTTAGGAGCCTTATTGTGGGGAACACCTTAAGTCCAGGGTGGTTGAGGAATGTCTAGGCTGATCTCAGAGAGGGTGGGGAATGCAAACTCCTGGTGGGCCAGGAGCTGAGGGATCATCTTTTCCCAGGACGTACCCTGGGCTCCGGGGCCTTTGGGCAGGTGGTGGAGGCCACGGCTCATGGCCTGAGCCATTCTCAGGCTACAATGAAAGTGGCTGTCAAGATGCTAAAATGTGAGTCAAGGTGCCCCACCTCTCTCTTGCTCCCTCCCCACACATTCAAGCACTCCCAGAGCAGGCCAGGCCTGATTCTATTCCCTGGCACAAGGAATACAGTCACCCTGCAGCCAGCCCGCCTCTGGCAGCCTCTTCCCTCCCCCTCCTCGCCTCCTTCCTCCTGTCCTCTTTCCCCTCCCCCTGCATGTGGGTCCTCCCCGCCCTTGGCCGCCTGGGTCTTACAGCACAGACTGGGGCAGAGCCAGAATAAGCTCCAGTGGGGCCTCCACGGGGCCTCAGTGATGGGGCCAGGCCTGAGGCCCCCTCTGTCCCTCAGCCACAGCCCGCAGCAGTGAGAAGCAAGCCCTCATGTCGGAGCTGAAGATCATGAGTCACCTCGGGCCCCACCTGAATGTGGTCAATCTGCTGGGAGCCTGCACCAAAGGAGGTACAAATCCACTTGCCCAGAGGACTCTGGGAAATGCCAACAGCCAAGGCCTGGCCCCTCTCCACCCCTCCTCAGTCCAGGGACAGCAAGACACTCCAGCTGAAGTGTCTGCACCCATCCTGTCCCACACCCTCACTTTACAGAGTCAGCTGGATATGGGATTTAGAAATTCACAGAATCATAGCGCCACCAAGGCCAAAGGACTGTTCAGGTCACCAGTCCCAGGAGTTCCCACATCAAGGGATCCTCTGACATTTTAAAACTTTCACATTTTTTAAAAATTGAATTTATTAGGCTGACATTGGTTAATAAAACCATACAAGTTTCAATGCACAACTCAGTAACACATCATCTGCATACTGCACCCTGCAGCCACCACCCAAATTCAAGCCTCTCTCGCCACCATTTATCCCCCCTGTGCCCGCTTCCACCTCCCCCACCCCCTTCCCTCTGGCAGTCACCATACTGTTGTCTGCGTCTGTCTGTTCATTGTTGTTGGTTTTTGCTTATATATTTTAACAACTGTAATAAATCACAGCTCAGGCGACACTGAAATGAAGTGTGTCCCCACTGTCGGAGACCACCAGCCTGCATTCAGATCATAGAATAAAGTGTTTCTGGTTAAGCATGTTTATTTGAAAGTCTGATTGCAAGTTAGGCTGTTAGGCTGCAAAAACAATGTTATTGCCATTTACAGCTGTTTATTGTGAGGTTTGGGATTTTCCTCAGTATTGTGCAACCAAAGCAAAATTCAGAAGTACATTGCACTCATAGGCCAACTTATGTCTGCAATGATCACCCTGTTTCACAATTTTTGTTCTCATTAATATATCTTCAAGTTCCCACCGATTGACTCTAAATAAATGCATCGTATTTGAATTTAAGCAATAACCTGATAATAAATAATTGTCACTATTTACTTTATAAATTTGGCTGCAAAATAAGCTTTAATTTGAAAACCTATTGACAGCAGCTAACACTGTGCTTGCTATGGTCCAGGCACTGAGCTAAGCTGGCAAAGGCATTGTCATGACAGCACTTTGTGGTGGGTATTGTTGGCCCCATTTAACAGATGGGGAAAGTAAGGCTCAGGGAAACTAAGTATGTTGCTCACAGTCACAGAGGCAGGAAAAGAAACCAGGTTTGCCTGGAGCCGAAGCCTCTTCACCATTACACCAAGCTGCCTCTCGCACGCGCAGCCTGTTATTAGCCTCCTGGCCCTGATGTCTCATCGCCCTGAGGCCTCCCCGGGGACTGTCCCTGAGCTTGTCCCTCCACAGGGCCCATCTACATCATCACTGAGTACTGCCGCTACGGCGACCTGGTGGACTACCTACACCGCAACAAGCACACCTTCCTGCAGCACTGCTCCGACAAGCGCCGCCGGGCCAGCGCCGAGCTCTACAGCAACGCCCTGCCGGTCGGGCTCCCCCTCCCCAGGTACCTGGAGGGAGATGGGGATCTAAATCTTTGGGGAGCCCTGAGGAGCATCTGCTTGCTCCGTCTTTGTCCAGTACAGGAAACTGAGGCCAGGGAGCGTAGAGTGGACCTGGGGCTTGGCCACCCCAGAGGGCATGACAGTAATGCTGACGGTAATGGTGGGATCGGCTGCCACCTGCCACCCACTGGCTGCCTGCAGTGTGCCAGGCCCTGTGCTGAGCACTCTGCAGGTGTGACCCCTTGGTCCCTCACATGCTCCCTATGTTGTGATTCCTTCCTTGCTTTCCACGGTGAGCACTGGGGCCCCCCTGCCCCAGGCCTGACTCCACGCCGTACCCCTCACGGTAGCTTCCGCGCCTTCTGCGCACCAGCCTCTCCAGTGCTCGAGGTCAACACAGCCCCCTGCGTCTTCCTTTCCAAAGATAGCACCTTAGTTCTTTCGCTGATTACACAAGCAATATGTATTTTTCGCAGGGACGAGGGTAACTTTAGAAAAGCACTAAAAGAAGACTCATCCCTGTTCTCCCCAACATCTTGATCCATTTTCTTCCAGTCTTTTTTCTACCTATAGAGACACGTGTGTATAGTCCCACCGCTCTCTGCGGAGGGGGTGCTGCAGGCAGAGGCCTTCGGGCAATTCATTGCCCACTCTGGGTTGGGGCCGGGCATCCATGGGGCATCCTGGCTGGCTGGTGCTGTAGAGGCCACAGAAAGGCACCTCTGTACATGCCCTTCTTGTGACCCTTGCCCTGGAGGGGTGTAATTGCCCTTGACCCGAGCTCTCTGAGAATACACACTGGGACTTATGTCATCTTAGAAGGCCCAGGGCCCAGCCCAGGGCCCCACAGGTTGGTTGAAAGCGCTGTCTATGAGGTTCTTCACATGATGGTGACAGGCTAGAGGAAGATGACTCAGTGAGGGAGAGAAGAAATACTTGAGTGACAGGGTCTTGCAGGCCCCAGGGGTAAGCAGAGGGGCAGGAGGGGAAAGGAAGGGAAACCCTGTCACTTCTCCTTCTGTGACACTCCTCTCACCCTCAGCCACATGTCCCTGCCTGGGGAGAGTGACGGTGGCTACATGGACATGAGCAAGGACGAGTCGGTGGACTATGTGCCCATGCTGGACATGAAAGGAGACATCAAATATGCAGACATTGAGCCCTCCAACTACATGGCTCCCTATGATAACTACGTCCCCTCCGGTGGGTGCACGGTATCCTCCCCCATGTGGCCCTCACACCTGCACAGTGATGCATTCTTTTCAAAGCCTTTCACATGCCCAGCCAGACAACAACCCCGAGAGGAAGCAGGCCTTGTGCCCATTTCATAGGTGCAGAAACTGAGGGTAGCCACCTGCACAAAGATGCTGTGTGGTGGGGCCCCAATATGAACCAGTTTGTGGGTCTAGAGATGTGCGCGCAGCACATACAGAGGGAAAGGTCGGGTCAGGGAGGGAGTACCTTGCCTCCTGGGCCTTGGGGAAGAGTAGTCTGCTCAGAGGACGCCTCGGGCTGATCTAGTGCCCCTGAAAAGCAGGCAGGCTAGGCCGAGCAAGGGTGGCCCAGGGCAAATGCCAACAGCTTTTCTGGAAAACAAAGGCTCTGATAAAGTAGGAGAGGTTTAAGTTAGATAATTGGAAATTGTTTTTCTTTGGAGGGAGACATAGAGGACCAGTAGCCCCCTGCCTTGGACATTTAGCCTCTGGGAGCTTAAGAGCAGAGGTCTTGTGGGACATGGGACACACGAGACAGTGGGTGACCTTCTGCTCTCTTCTAGCTCCCGAAAGGACCTGCCGAGCAACTTTGATTAACGAGTCCCCAGTGCTTAGCTACATGGATCTTGTGGGCTTCAGCTACCAGGTGGCCAATGGCATGGAGTTCCTGGCCTCCAAGAATGTACGTGTAGTCACAGTGGGCAGATTGAGGTCATGGGGAGGTGGGTCACCCAGCCAGCCAGCATCCCTTAAGTACACAGATCCACATGGTAGCTTAGTCCCCTCTGGTGGGTGAGGACATTAAATGCCCTCACACCACATGGCCCCTCTCACCTGTGTGGCCACTCGCACCTGGACAGTGATGCATCTTTCCCAAAGCACTTGACATGGAGGGTCTTTCCCCACAATTGCCCCCCAAGGTCTCAGCTCTGATCCTCCCCAACCCCCCAGTGTGTCCACCGAGACCTGGCAGCCAGAAATGTGCTCATCTGTGAGGGCAAGCTGGTCAAGATCTGTGACTTTGGCCTTGCTCGTGACATCATGCGGGACTCTAACTACATCTCCAAAGGCAGTGTGAGTACCTTCTCCACTCTGTGTGCCTCTGACCCTCCCAGTCAGCATGGCTTTGGCTAAGAGGTCAGGACAGGGCTCCCTGTGGTCTGACCTGCCCACAGTGATAGGTCTGCCTGCCTAGCCATGTGTGCAAGGACAGGAAAGGAAGCCACCAGCTGTGCATGGGGCTGGAGTGGGCAGAGATGCTGAGGCTTGTGGGGTGAGCTGGGGGCTCAGATTTGCTGGTCATGACAGGGAGCAAGGGACTAGCTGTATAGGATCCCAGGGAGTTTGGAGGGGGAACAGGCCAAATGTGTTGTCCTAATGGTGGGAGAAGGCAGAGGAAGAAGCTGAAGTGGCAGGCAAAAACAGATGAATAGGTGGCAGGCAGTATTTGGTTAAAATATGACCATCCTGCCTCCCATTTGTGTCCCCACTTTCCACATTGGAACAGTGAACCCCAGAACTGGAGGGACGCTAGGCCTCAGAGACCTGAGGCAGCCAGGATCAGAGTTGGGTGGCACCACTGGCATGTCCCTGGCTCCCACTCCCCTCTGCTAACTCAGTCAGGGGCCTCTCCTGGGGTCAGGAAGGGAAGACTGCTCTCTGAGGAGCCTCAGACCTTGGTTGCTTGTAGGAAAAGAAACTCAGCCTCCTGATCCTCTGGCCAGCACTGGGATGGACATGGGAACTGTGCCCATCCTTACCTCAGGGATGAGGGAGTGAGCAAGAGTTGGGTGTGGGAACTGCCAGGTCTCCTCCCCCCACCCCACCCCTTTGTGCAGTGGGGCTCAGCCCCTCCTTGCGCTCAGGCCTTCCTGCCCTCCCTTAGACCTTCCTGCCGCTGAAATGGATGGCCCCCGAGAGCATCTTCAACAGCCTCTACACCACCCTGAGCGACGTGTGGTCCTTTGGGATCCTACTCTGGGAGATCTTTACCCTGGGTATGCTTCCTTCTTCCCAGAGTCCCCAGCAGCCTGGCTCACATCCACTCTGACCGTTCACACTCCAGCCTGGCAGGGCTGTGAACAGACTCTGGGACAGGGATCAGGGCTCTGGTTCAAGTCCCAGCTCTGCTGCTTTCTTATTGCTGCATGTCCTGGGCAAGTCTCTTGCCCTCTCTGGGTCTCTTTACCTCCCCATCTGAGTATCGAGGGGTTTGAACAGTGACATCAAAAAACCTGTTTGGCTCTGGTGTTCTTCGGTTCTCTGATTCTGGGGAGGGTTGTAGTCTGTCCAGAACCAGGAAGAAGCCACATTTCCCAATTCCAGGGCCACTCCCCCCTCAACCCAGCCCTGGCGTGAGGGTTTCTCACCACTTTTTCAACACCCCTGAGCCTGTGTATCTATCTCTTCTCTTGTCTTTGCTCCCTGACAGGTGGCACCCCTTACCCAGAGCTGCCCATGAACGAGCAGTTTTACAATGCCATCAAGCGGGGTTACCGCATGGCCCAGCCTGCCCACGCCTCCGACGAGATGTGAGTGGGGCATTTGTGAGGACTTTTTGGGTGCAAACAATAGATACCGAACTTTACCAGCTTAAGCCAACAATAGATTTATTCATTCAGAGATCTAGAAAAATCTTGGCATAGCTGGATGTCATTGGCAATCCCTCCTTCTATCCCTGGGCTCTGCCTCATTCACTGTAGTTCCAGCAAAAGGCCCAGGGCTGACTGTCATGGGCTCAGCTTGGGTCATGTGCCCATCCAGAACCAGCCACTAAGCTGAGGAGATACAAAGTCCCACTGGCCAGATCTGCACCATGTGCTCACCCAGGCATGGTCAACTCCACAGAGTTGGAGTGGGGCTCCATTGGACTGGGGCTGGAGGGAGGGCCCCCCAAGGGTATATCCGGGTGTGATAATGGGAAACAACACCTATGTACCTCCCTTCCCCGAAACCCATCATCGCTCACTTGTTCTGGGGTGGCAGCCCCCTCCCCTGAGCCCTGTGTCAGAGATCCTGACCCCTGCACCTCTCCCCAGTTACGAGATCATGCAGAAGTGTTGGGAAGAGAAGTTTGAGATCCGCCCCCCCTTTTCCCAGCTGGTGCTGCTTCTCGAGAGACTGCTGGGCGAGGGTTACAAAAAGGTATGTTGAAGCGGGTGGGGGTGGTGGAAATGAAGAGTTCTGGTCCGGAGGCCAGACACTGGTTACAAGGCTCTTTATGATATGCCAGTATTTGGAGGACCACCCTTTACCCTCTCTGGGCCTCAGTTTCCCTGCTGGTACCAGTAAGGGATGGGCTGGAGCTATGAGTTTATTTTAGCAGAACAAAGAGTTTTGAAATGAAATCCCATGTGAAAGCTGATAGGTTTAAAGTGGAGGGGGGGAGCGCACAGCCCCCTTTAATCCTCACCCATGCCAAATCTTGGGGCTCCTTCAGAGGTTTGAAATTCCTAAGGCTAGATGACTGCTAAGGGCCTGACCACTTGGGTCTCATCCAGGCTCAGACAAGGCACATGGAGCCAGCTGGGTCTTAATGCCCTCCCTGCCCATGGCAGGAGCCAGAGGAGGGGCATGCCAGTCTCCTTTGGCACAGACACAGCCCTTTCCCCAGGCTCATTTCTAAGCCTCCTCCCACCCCAGGTCTGGTTAAGGCTCCAGGACCAGTGAGATGGAGTGGAATTGTCACCATTAGGTAGTTAGGGAAACTGAGGTCCCGCTGAAGCAGGTTGAGGCAGGATGAGAGCTCGCACCTGTCTGGTCTGAAGTGGGAGAAGTGTTAGTGTCTTGGGTGCTGCTCCACTGACTGCGCCTCCCTGGGTGGCCCTGAGCTCACCTTGTCTTGGGAGATGCCAGGTGGGAGGGCAGCTCAGCTGCGTGGCTTTGGGCAATTGCCCTTCCTTTCTGAGCAGCAGTTGCCTAATTTCCACAAGATGAGAGGGGCTGGGTCAGAATCTTACTGTTGGATGACCCCTCAAGGCTTTTCTGATCTGCCCTGCCCTGTTTCTCGGGTTCTCCCTGGCCCTCGGAGCAGAAGTACCAGCAGGTGGATGAGGAGTTCCTGAGGAGCGACCACCCCGCTGTCCTTCGGTCCCAAGCCCGCTTCCCAGGCTTCCATGGGCTCCGATCCCCCCTGGACACCAGCTCAGTCCTCTACACTGCTGTGCAGCCCAACGAGGGTGACAATGACTATATCATCCCCCTGCCCGACCCTAAACCCGAGGTTGCTGATGAGGGCCCACTGGAGGGCTCCCCCAGCCTTGCCAGGTAATCGCTGTGGCCCGGGGCCTGCAATAGTGTGCACAGTGTGTGCGTGTGTGTCTGTCTGTCTGTCTCTGTGGCATCAGGCTTGCCTTAGAATTAAGTTACCCAGAGTGAGCACTTATTCCTGCCAGCGAATAGAAGAGAGAATTGAACTCCTTTGACTTCTGATGCCTTCAAGTGGAAAGGGCAGGTTGGTGAGAGAAAGAGTGGGCTGGGACTTACCTGCAATGTAGCTGCTTCCTTTAAAGGAGCCCTTAAAGGACATCTACTCTCTCCCCTCTCTAGGCCCTGTCCTAGCCCTAAGGAGAAGAGGAAGAAACCTAATTAGCACTCAGCAAGCACCCCATGTGTTACCTCAGGTCATCACCAGCCCCAGGCCTGTGGTCTGTCCTTTAGCACCACACCTTGGGGACCCCAGGGAGCTGGCGTGGTTGCAGGAGGCAGAGGCGCCTACAGGAGTTCAGGCCAGAATTCAGACTGGGAAGATCCATGCTTTTCTTTGCCCTGGGATGTGGTGAAGTTGGAGTATGGGGAGGGCTTTGAGGGAAGTCCCAGCTGTTGCCTGGATTTGATATCCAGACAGGATGCCCCCTCAGCTGGAGAGAAGGGTTCCCCATGAGGCCAGGTCCACTCCCCCAAAACAAGACCCAGCCCACAGTGAAGTGGCAGGAGCCCCACCTGGGTTCCAACCCCAGCTCTGCTTCGAGATCCCCCAGGCACCTGCTCTCTCTGAGTACTAGGAGCAACACAGGACTCAGATGCCTCACCCGCCCCCCCGCCGTCCCGAAGGTCCTCTTTACCCTGTGTAAGCAGCTAATATTCCAAGGCTCCGTGTAGACAGTGTGCAGAGGCGTTAAGCTCAGGGTTCAAACAGCTGAGGGTGTGAATGCGGGCCCTGATTTGTGCCTTCAGACAAGTTACTTCCCCTCTCTGAAGTTCAGTTTCCTCATCTGTAAAATAAAAACAATCAGCTCTTCAGCTGGGCAGTTGTTGTGAGGAATAAATGAGACAGTATATACCTCTAGGAGCGCAGGAGATGGAGACACTGTGAGTGAGGAATAAGCTTTGGAGTCAACTGGATCTGCTGTGAAGTCCCAGCTGCTATACTTACCTGCTGTGTGGTGCAGGGCAATGACATAACCTCTCTGAGCTGCTCTTTCTCACAGTGCCTGCCTTGCATAGTCCTTACAAGGATTAAATGAGCCAAAGTGTGTAAGGGGCACAGTGCAAGGCTGGACACTGAAAGCGGCTGTTATTTTACTGTGATTCCCTCCCAGCCTCTCACATACTTGCCTTCTCCCTCTAGCTCTACGCTGAATGAAGTCAACACCTCCTCTACCATCTCCTGTGACAGCCCCCTGGAACTACAAGAGGAACCAGAGCCAGAGCCCCAGCCTGAGTCCCGGGTGGAGCTGGAGGCAGAACCAGAGTGGCTGCCGGAGTCAAGCTGTCCTGAGCCCCGGGCTGAGGCAGAGGACAGCTTCCTGTAGGGGGCTGGCCCCCACCCTGCCCTGCCCGAAGCTCCCCCTCTACCTCCCAGCACCCTGTGCCTCCTGTCCTGTCCTGCCGGGCCTCCCATCAGCTGGGCTGTTCTCATCAGCTGTCCCCTCTGGAAGGCTCTTGCCCCTGACATGTCATACCCCAACCCCTGGGGTAGGCTTAGGAGGCAAGAGACCTGCAGGGGCCATGACCAGCCCTCTGCCTCTGGGGAGGCCATATGACTCTGAGCCAGGGTTCTCCCACAGGACTCAGTTGCCCCATCTGTAAGATGGGAAAGTAAGGCTCAGCAACACAGTCTGGGATTCTCCCCTGGCTGACAGGTGGGGTGGTTGGAATCCTTGGGAAGATTCTCAAGGTTCATGAGGTGGTAGGTGAACTTTTTTCTGTTCAGCCAGCTACCCCTCAGGAGCTGTAGCTCTTTCCTTGTACTTTATCCACCCAAAAGCTGGGGAGGGGACCCTGGCGTCCCTGGCTCCTGGCTGAGCTAGGGCCTGGCCTTGGACAGTGTTGCGTCTTCTCCTCAAAGTCAGTCTTCACTCTCCCAGGCCCGAGCTGGTCTGGGGCCACCCATGCTTAATGAATGCGAGGGGCTGAGCCCAGTCCAGGACATTCTGGCCCATAGCCCCTGCCCCAGGCGCTCGGGACACACCTCTTCATACAAAGTGCCTGAGTCTGTGTCTTCCTGACTCCATGAGTCCTGGAGTCTTTTTCTTCATCACTGCCAGTCATATTCTACCCACCAGTCTCCAGGGCCGGACGAACCCACATCTATGATGAGTGTGTTGACATGCCTGTGCGAAGTGTCCACACGCGAGGACCAGTTTGTGGATTGTATGTGCACTGGATCTGCCAAGAGACCTTGCAGAAATCCCTTGCCCTCTCTGGGCCCGTTTTCCCTGTTGAAAAATGAGCAGGTTGGACTCATTGACTTTTGGTGCCCTTCCACTACTAACATTCTAGAATATTTTTGGAGTTACACACTTGCCCAGATAAAGCAAAGCCAAACACCCCAAGTCTCCATCCTGGAGGTCAGCTGAGGTCTGGGGAGATTCCAGACCACATATCACACTCCAGGAGTTCAGGAACTGTGCCCCTTCCCCAGGCCCCCAGCAAATCCCAAAAGGCCAGCTGCCCAGGCCTTGACTCGGAGTGCAGCCAGTATCTGAGAAAGCCCCAGGCAGTTGCCCCAGGGATGTGGGAGGACCGAGGTAGCTCTTTCAGCACCCACAGTGACCTCCGGAGCTATCCTGGGCCAAGGAGGTGGAGAGGGCAAATCAGAGCATCTGCTGCGCCTCCCACTCCAACACCTGCTGTCCAGGTCTGTGTCGAAGACAGTGGACAGTTAGGGCCCCTGGGGGGCCCTGGAAACCACAAGAAGCCTTGGATGGGGAACCTGAGAAAGGGATATAAGAAGTAGGTACTCTGACGGTTGCCTGCTCAGCTGCCAGCTGCCCCATCCCTGAGGCAGTACCCACAGGATATGGCTTTGTCACTGCCCGGGCCTACTCACCTCACTGTCTCTGCCAGCCACCCAGCCCAGTGGGCATTGAAGTGCTAAAGGAACGAGGTCTGTGGCCAAGACCTCTGGCAGGGGAGGGCTGTAAGGGGGTGAGGCAAGACCCCCCCTTCTGGTCACCAAGCCCCCTATGCTGGTTCGCACCTTCCTGCCCTGCGACTCCCGAACACTGGTTGAGGAGAGAAACTGGGTTCTCACTACGGTACCAAAGATGTAATCACCTAGGTTTACAAGTATTTTTAGGACTCACATTAACTCACATTTATACAACAGAAGTGCTATTTTATATGCCATCAAAATTTACTATCTGTGTACTTTTTTTTAAGGGAAAGATTTTAATATTAAACTGGTGCTTCCCACAGACTTCGTGGTCTCTGGTGGATTGGGGTCCCTGTGCTTGGTTGGTGTCAGGAATGGAGTGGGGCCAACAGGGCTCAGCTCAGCCACAGGGTCCCCACACAGGTCCCTTCAGCACTGGGTCTGGTTTCCATCTATAAGATGGGGATTTTCACACCCCACTCCCACCCCCACTCCTTGCTAGTAGCTGGTGACCTAGACATGGGCTTCGGTTTTCCAAACTGGGAAATGGGAGGGCTATTACGGCTCTGTAGGTGCCTGGCCCTGGGGTGGATGGGACTGTTCACAGGCTCAGGAGCCTGAGCCCCTCCTGCACCCACCCCCCATTCCACCATGTGCTTTGGCTTTGGATATTAAGCTGCCCCGCCCCACCCTCCCTGTCCAGTCCACTCTGCCTTGGGCCAGACTGAGTCTGCTGTGGCTCTTGAGCAGCATCCTCTACGGCCCAGATTCCAGGCCCGGTGAGTAGTGGTTGGGTCCCAGGTAGGAGGAGGGCAGACAGAGCACCCAAGGGGACAGAGAGCGGGAAGAAGAGAGGAGACAGGGTGAAGGAGAGAGGAAGAGGAACGAAGAAGGATGCTGTGGGAGTGCTGCCAGGGCAAGGCCCGGGGAGGGAAAGGGGCCTGGCTGTGGCTCTGAGGGCAGTCTCACCAGGCTGGGCAGAGGGGTGCAGACCTGGTAGGCCCCCTGCCCCTCACAACTGCAGGAGTTCAGTGGTGTGGGGCTGGCATGAGCCAGGCATCTTGGTGCCTACTGGTCAGCTCAGTACTGGCCATAGGTTCCACTGCCCAGCCCAGGTCTGGGAGACCCTGGCAGGAGCATGAGGCCAGCGGCCACAGAGCTACCAGGGGCAGGGGGGCAGGTGCAGGGGTCCTGGGCCCAAGTTCAACCTTCCTGACACTCCGGCCTGGGCCCTTTGGGAGCGGTCAGTTGAGGCGGACCCAGGTTTGTCATACCTCGCTGTGTGACCTTGGCCATCCCTTGCTCTGAGCTGGGGAGGTGGCATCTCGGTTCGCTGCTGGGGGAGGGGCACCTTGTTTTGGAGCCTCTCCCTGGACTGCCTCCAGGAGTCTGGGGCTGTGGCTGCACTGGGGAGAGGAAGGGAGACGCGGGAAGCTCTGACTCACAGGCCCAGCCGCCAGCTCAGGAGCAGCTGAGCCACGCCAGGGGAAACCCCAGGCAGAGGCAGGGCCGACCAGGCCAAGCCCACCCTCCCGGGGTCCTGGCTTCAGAGAACACCCAAGCCCAGAACCCCTTCTCCCGGCCGTGGCAGTGGATGGATAAACCAATACCCAGATCTGCCCCGTAAGGGAATAAACCCCGCATTCCAGGCGGGATTATCCCCACTCCTGGGAAAAGCCTCGGTCTGGAGGGAGGGAGATGGCTCCCGCCACCTCGGGCCTGCTCCGCATGGGACCCTGGGTGGATGGCACCACAGCGGCCTCACTGCCCCCGCAGTACATGGAGCTGGTGATGCTGTGAAGAGATCGCAGACGCTAACGCACAGCTGACCACTGACTGAGCAGTTCCTACGTGCCAGGGCTGCCCTGCTTCACACACACTTTCTCCTTTGACCCTCACAGCAATTCTAGGAGCCCGGTACCACTATTATTCTCGTATTACAAAGGAGAGGCCAGTTTAGGGAGGTAGCGAAGTGACTTGCAAGGTCGTCTGGTTGGTCCCGGCCCACTCCCCTGTTGTTGCTCAGGGAGACAGAGCCCCCGGCCAAGGTTATAGGCCAAGGAGCGGGAAAGCCTGGGTCCCAGCCCCTGTCTCCCGACTCCACGCCTCTCTGGTGCTATGTTCCCAAGAAAAGAGCAGGAACGTGCTGATAAGAGGAAGGAGCTCAGTGAGTCTGAAGGCAACATACAAAGAATAAAAATGAGTTTGGTGGAGGTATGGGAGTCAGGGGAGAGGCGACTGTAGGTCAGCCTTGGCTGGCTCCTGCTTCCCAGCCTCACCGCTCGGGCAGGCCCCAGGGAAGGAGTGAGCTGGAATTTTCCTCCCAGACAGATGAGCCACTTGGACTACACTGTTCTTC